TTGCATAACATTTAATAGGGAAAATCCGATTCACAGAATCAAAAGTTACCTCGGATCCGGATCCGGATCCATCATCACGGATGCGGATCCGGATCAGAATCAAAATGATATGGATCCGAAACACTACTAGGCACTGTTGCAATATATCAAGGGTTGTTCATTTTAAGGGTCCGGGAAATTCAGAGAAGTGAATAAGAAGTTTAACAAGAACAATTCTCTTCCACGAAAATTCCAGATATGGATGGGAGGAGGCTGAAGAGTAACATGGACGATATAGAAACAACAAACTTTTTCTTTCCTAACCTGGGGACATGCTTTCCAGATCCTGTCTCAGAGAAGAAAGTGCTGAAACTATCATCTCCTCCAGCAGCACTCTTGTCTGAGGGCATTAAACCATCAGGCTGAAGACCATGCTCCAGGCAGTAGAGTGTTATGATACACTAATCCTTTATAATAATCTACACTATGCACTAGACGTAGATATAGTATTAATCTGTCCAGAACTACTGATATTTTATCATCCTCTTCTTCTATCTTTTGATCTCCAGCTGAGAAACCTAACAATTCATCTTCCTCTGCACTCATCTCTTCAATTAGATATTCAGTAATATTCTCTAGAACAGGATTAGAACTCCTCTCGCCAACTATTTCATCAACTGTCGTTTCCCAAAGGTTCCATTTCTTATCCAGAAGCTTGACGATTTTTGATGCTGCTTTAATATCATGCTTCATGACCTGGTTCATGTTAGACACTCCAGACACAGGACGGACTCGTTGGGACAGATCTTTGTTCAGAACAGGACTAAACTCGATATTCTAAAAAAATAAATTCATTTTTACAATTTAAATGGACATTTACAAGTTCTCTTCCATTTATAATAAGGCCTTTGATTTCTTTGGGTAAATGACTTGCGGATTTATGGCACAACCGTGAACCATAAAATCTTGAATCTAAAATCTCAAAAGTAACAACTATTTTCTTGAACCCCTTGAATATAGTGACATGGTACTACGTTATTAATAAAAAAAACGTTTAAAGATGAATGTCGAACGGAAACATACAATCGTTCGCTATTAAGTGTCAATTATTTTAAGCAGACAAGATAAGGGAAATATATAACCTATATAGCAGAAAAATAAAAGGAGTGAAAAAGGTTAAAAAATGCGAGTTTACAATTTAATAAGTTGTTATATAACGACTTGAAGGAAATAATAGTAAAATTAATAAACGAGTAAAAAATGTTAATAAATATGACTTAATACGTTACCTATGAAAATATTGATTACTTTTACCTTTAATCTAACTGAGCCGATTTTGAGACAAATTTCCTTAATCTTAGCGTCTCGCGCAAAAGAGATCCAACCTTTCCTTAACCATCTATTTTCCGGGAGAGGTTCCGAGAGCGCTAGCCTAAGATATCCTGGATACTTCTTATACACAGCTTCTATTTCTTCTCTTTTAATTGTCGGATGAATAGACCGGAGATGAATACTTGTAGTTTTATGCAGCTCCTGGGCTGGGGATACTCCAAGCTGTATACTCAACACGTCCTCCTCCGTACCTCCTTCAAGTCTGTACACAAAGCAGTCTAACAACGTTTCTATCTCCTCCGCTCTGCTGGACTCCAACCTCAGCTCCTTTATATTTCCTTGGTTATTCAGCTCCATAAATACTTCTACACGTCGTCTTAAATATGAAGTTTCCATGTCGTGTCGGAGAGTTTTCAGATCAGGATGATACTTTTCCTGGAACCATTCCTCGTCCTTGTGCATGACAAAGAACTCGTTAAGCTGCTGTCTGTTGAACTCGAGCTTGTACTCTCCGTATTTAGAGATGGCCTCGTCGTCAGTGATGTTGTCCTCCTGAGTGGACAGGAATGCCTTGAAGCTGAGAATGGTTGGAAGACTTGTTCGCTCATCTTCTGAGCACTCTTCTCTTCGAAACCGTTTCTCCGGTGGGTTATTGTCCCTGCACAAATAAATAAATCATTATCTTTTCTATATACATGAGACTAAACACTTGTCAATCAGCAGACGATAATATTAATAAGTAGTTTATATTAACTTATTATCCGTTGTTAAACAGACTAAAATCAGCTGCATCGCTGAGTGCAGAGTAACTAACTTACTATAAATAAATTATAAAAGTAAAACATATGATTTGATAAGGATTTAACATGACTGATACAAAATCAACTCCCTATATAAAGCATTTATTACTTTAATTAAAATTTCGATGATTCGCATTATCGTCACTTTATTAAAAAATATTTTTTAAAGTTAATATTTTAGATTCATAGATATAATGGCATAATGCTTTTGACGTTGAATGTGAACTTTCTTTTCTGCAGTGTGTATATGCAGAATTTATATCAAGGGTTGAAGCAACAAGTGCGCCTGCGCACTAGGCATTTATTTGCAGGTAGAGAAGGATTAGTCATGAATTCCTGGGACAAGAATAAGAGAAAATATACATGAATCACTAGATGTCGAGAGTAGAGGATTAAATTAAAGCCAAATCCTAATTCACCAATACAAATAGCAACAAAGATAACACAAAAAAACAAGCTGGATTAAAAATAAATATCTATAAAGTTTTAACCTCTTCCTACTAAGTTCCAAACTATGATAATTTCCTAATAAACAGAAAATGTGGCCGCAACAAATTTATTATTTAATTTTTTGTTATTTAGGGTCAGGTTAGGTTAAGATAAATTCTGGGCCGAGCGCTGCGGCTAGGATGGGCTAGGGGGCCGAGCGCTGCGGCCACGGGTTAGGTTAGTTAAGACACTTTCTGGGCCGAGCGCTGCGGCTAGGATGGGCTAGGGGGCCGAGCGCCGCGGCCACGGGTTAGGTTATATAAATTAGAAAGTACCTTGGTGGAGCAATCCTCTGTCGTTTCCCGGTTACCAGCGGCCGGTTTCCACTAATCTTGGTCTGAGGCCGTTCGTCCGGGTTTTTAGCTCGACGATATTCGCCGTATGTCGAAAAGTTGCTCATGTCATGTCCATTAAGTCTGAAAAACGTCGTATCTAAATAAAAGAGAAATCTGCTCCAATTGTCTGCTGATATAAACAAATATAAAATGTATCCTTAAGAAAAGGACTTAGACCATTGTCTAACCAGTCTAAATATATTAACTTACGCCTCAATTTAACCCGAAATTACAAGAAAATGTGAGAGATTAACTGTGCTCAAAAATCCCATTGTCCGAGCTGCGCGCATTCCGTGCGCCGACCTATCACAAGGGTCCTCGCGGTTTGAATACCCGCGGTTTCCAAGTTTAAATCAATTCATGACGTAGTTTAAGGCGGGGAACGAATAGGAGACCTCGACAGGGATTCAGCCAATCAGAGAACAGATTACATATCAGGTGATGAACAAAGGTCGTTTTTACAGTAACTAACCGCTTTTGGAGTAAGGAAAGGAGTTTAATCAAAATATAGTTTAAATTATGGTCAATTATCAGTTTTACTAAATTTATACGCATTTTACACAAAATTGCGGATTTTCAGCTACGGATTATAGTTAATCAGTGACAAATTCTCAATAAAACGGTAATTAAATGTTTAGTAAATCAAGTCATATAGTGGACAGGGGCGGATACAGGATTTAAGTGAGGGGGGGGGCAAGATTTTTTGACTTAACAGACTCAAAAAGAGTCAAAATTAATGACTAAAGACTAAAAAACTAGATTTTTAACTTTTCACACATTATAGTTTATTAAGACGGATATTTTTCCTGTTTTGCACTAGGGTTTCTTTCCCTTAAGCATTCTATTGAGAAGCTATTCTGAAAATAGGAACAAAAAATTCCAAATTCATGGGGGCCTACACCCCTCCCTGAATCTGTCAGGGGGGGGGCGAATTTCCCCCCGCCCCCCCCTGCATCCGCCCCTGAGAGTGGAATCTTTTCTATCAAGGGAGTATACTTGGGGGAGACAAGGGGGGCAGTGCCTCCGACTAGACCTCTGAAGGGGGGGGGTTACGACCCCCCCCCCTAGAACTCAGAGCTATCTTACTTTTCAAATCTTAAGAAGATTGAAGAACATTAAAAAAAGTTTGCTGTTCTGAATTGGACTTTTAGGGTAGCCCCCCTCCACCACAAAAAAATATATATTACTAGGCTTTTATTCGTGTCCATCTTCTTAATTCAACATTTAATTGTGGCTTTATCTGTGAGCATCTTCTCTTTGTACAGTATAAAAAAATTAATTTGATAATATTTTTCCGCGCATTTTCAAAATTTTACAAAATTAAATGATTTAAGATAAAAATATTTTAAGATTACATATTTAAATGCTGATTGGCGAAATACCTTCCCTGGGGCCCGTGAGGTCCCACACAAAATTTGGACCAGATCACTTTAGCCGTTTTGACGTTTATTGGATACAAACAAACAAACAGACAGACGTACAGACAAACTAAATAAATATATTGCAGTGCAACCTAATTTTCCCTTTTAAGTTTACAGAGTACACACTTCACACACTACACAGAGTTAAGTTCACAGAATTTCTTTTTCAAAAATTTCTTTTGTTACCTCTAGTATAAATACTAACAGAACATATAATAAAGAGTGTAGATTGAAAAAAAATGTATTTTGTTTTCTGCTAGTTTTGTTAATGTTGTATTTGCAAGGTAATTGGACTTTATGTGTTCATTTAAAGTATCTTATACTTTTTCCTGATATCCAAGAAGCCAAATTTTTAAAATTTAAGATTTAAATTTTGCCTCCCCCTAGGAGGTGGGGGGGGGGGCATATTTTGCCCCCTAAATTTATTTCCGTACATGCCCTTGTATTTTATTCTGTAAATGATTAAAGAAAGGGGCGGGGGACGGGTGTACCCTGCCTATATGCGTATACATCGTGTATTACATCCGTAATCTTTAATATATGTTATACATTTACCAATTAAGAATTATAATGGAAGCAATTCAAATTCATAAAATTTGCAAAACTTGAGTATTAAAGTGTTCATAAAGAGGTTCCAGGGGCGTTTACCGGGGAAGGGATACAAGAAAAGTGAAAACTTGAATGTCAACAAATATTAATTCCGACCTCCTGGACAAATTCCTGCATACGCCCCTGAGGTATTTTCTCTATTACTGTGTCATGTTTATATGAATAACCTCCGGTCGGAATTATTGTGGCAAAGATATAAGGGTTAGAAAATTTGAGTTTGTTGCGAGTAATCAGTTCCAATAGAGCGCAATGAGCAAATTAGCAATGAAGTTTCTTTTATTTGTAATTCTTATTTTCGCATGAATTATGTTATTTTAAATCAAATTTTAAGAAAAAGTGCTAATATTCACGTCGTTAAGGAAATGTATAAATGACCAAATATATATATTGGATAATACAGACAGTATTATCCAAAATTGAATAAATTTTATAATTATTATAATTATGAAAGTATAAAAACGAAACACATAAAGAAACTTATTTATAAGACGCAAAACAGTTAATCTTTTCTAACGGGGAATGTACCATTTTATCAATGGAGGGTAGGGGGGGAGGGGGGAGTATTTAAGCAGTAAAATTTAGTGATGTGTAATGTGTTATAATCATTCCAAAAGTCAGGGTTTTTTATTTATAAATAAAGGTGAAACTTTTTCATCGAACTGGGTATTAAAAGATGCACCTTATTTATGATTTAATTTTTTTTCATTTCTACGATTTTCACGTTTTTGAACAATTAGTGTTTCAAATTTCAAGACAGATATTTTAATGCAACTCTTGATTTTTTAGACGATATTTTTTTCTGGCTCACATTTTTATTTATTTGATTTACACAAAAAATCTAAATGAGATTGAAAAAAAATTCACAAATATTTGTTTTAAACTGCCCCGTATCAAAGAAAACTCTAGAACTTGTTCAATTGGGATTTGAGAATGATTATCCAAAAAGGCCCCATATTTTTATCCTTAAAATGATCCCCCTTCCGCGTCAAAAGCCAAAACAACATTATATTCCACATTTTAAAAAATTGTAAAAATTGTTAATAAGGTCCGTCTTTTAACATAATAATTATTCTTTTTCTTAATTTGAAGATGAGCACCACCCATGCAAACCAAGTTGGGCTTAATTAAGTTTTAAAAAGTTGAGGGTTTTTAACAAGAAAATATTCAAGAGTCTGGAATAATCTACTAAAAGTATAAAAACAAAGTTGTAATCTTCCAAACTTTGACATTTTAAATTTTTCTTATCGGAAATGGCAGAAGAAAATTTTACCAACAAGTTGGAAATAAAATCTGAGCAGGGGCGAAAGTGAAAACTATATATTCCTACGAGGGGGAATCAGCGCCTTTGGCTTTAAATTCAAAGTTTAACGAGAAAATTGAAAAACAGAATTTTTCTTAATGGAAATCTGTAACGCTCAGGTAATAGTTAATATTGTGATTTTTCTCATCTTTTCCTATTCTTTAGACTACCCCAAACAATTTGTCTCTGCCCAAAATGTGCTAATTATGATGTAAAATCTTCTTTGTTAAATGTAAAGCAGTTTATCAACTGAACACACAACTCTTCTAAACTTCTAAAATCACTAAAAGTTACCATTTTTAGCGTAATGCGGCTGGTTTTTTGAAAATCATTATTTCGATGGGCTAAATTTACTATTTAAAAACAAATTAATTGCCGGAACACTTAAAATTTGTGACATGGAAGACGATTTGGTCGTGGCTTATGCCTGCCAGAAGACAAAAAAGCTAATAAGTGGCATTAAAGGGGAAAATATTGTGGCTTATGGCCTTCCTCCGCTCTTGCTTTGCTAAATTATTAGAACTAAAATCAACAATTAGTTTGTTACTTTTTAAAAGTTTCAGGGCGTCATTATGATTATCAAAAAAAATACTTAAAATGCCTGAATAAACTTAAAGCCGGGGGGATATGGGTAAATCATCAAAGATTTCCCCCATGGCCTAGGACATCGAATTTTGTAATTGTAAAAACCCCTGAAACAAAGTTTGAACAGCAGCTTAAAAAATTTAAAGAAAAACTGAATTGCAAGTTTGCAACTTGAAAAAGTTTTTTCTCTCAAAACTGTTTACATCCAATAATAAAAAAATAAAATATTTATGAAAAATGTAAAATGGAGATGAAACAGGCAATGTTGTAAAGGAATCTTTTTATGATGAAAAATCTATTATCAAAATTATTAAAAATCTATAACTGCTCTAAAGCTTTATTCAAATTGGTGTGAGGTGAGTTAAAGAAAAAGTTATTATAAATAGGCGAAAATATTGTAATTTGATGATAATCACACAACCTCGATCGGACCCGGGGACCGAATTCATTGAATTGAAGTCGCTGAACTATCCACCATCGATTCAAAAACTTATCATGACATGAACAAATCCTAAATCACAGATTCAAGATACTTGGTTGTACCGCCTCTATTTAGTTCAGCGACTTCTCAGATACTTGGTTGTACCGCCTCTATCTAGTTCAGCGACTTCTCAGATACTTGGCTGTACTGCCTCTATTTAGTTCAGCGACTTCTCAGATACTTGGTTGCACCGCCTCTATTAAGTTCAGCGACTTCTCAGATGCTTGGTTGTACCGCCTCTATCTAGTTCAGCGACTTCTCAGATACTTGGTTGTACTGCCTCTATTTAGTTCAGCGATTTCTCAGATACTTGGCTGTACCGCCTCTATCTAGTTCAGCGACTTCTCAGATACTTGGTTGTACCGCCTCTATTTAGTTCAGCAACTTCTCAGATACTTGGTTGTACCGCCTCTATTTATGTTCAGCGACTTCTCAGATACATGGTTGTACCGCCTCTATCTAGTTCAGCGACTTCTCAGATACTTTTTAGCTTGAATATCCCACCATGCCCCGATAGAACCTCTCACCGATATATATAGTTAGTATATAGTTAGTAGTAATTAGGTATTCCTTAACTTTTGCTAGAACCTTTTAGTAATCTGTAAATCTATAAAAAGACTGATTGATGATTATTTAATGTAATCAATTGTAATCAATATCAATTAATAATAGTTCACAAAAGAAAACAATTGGTAAATATGAAAAATTAATTTATTCT